CAGTATTTTGTAGATGGGAGAATCTGATGACATGAGATTAAAACATGGGTCCTGGGTCCCTCACTTTTTGATATTTTTAGAAAGCCTGGAGGGAGAATGGCCAAGGAGTGGGAAAGGTTATTACCAGGAATAAAAAATATAGTTTCAAATGAACTTTAAAAAGTCATTGTCTTGCCATTTTCATTGTGAAATACAAATGGTTATTGTGTTGAAGTAGAATTCAATAGACACTTGAAAACTATAAAAAGATTAAGTGTATAATCAATAGTGAACCATAAATGTAGAATTTTTAGCAAGTTTTAATGCTGTTCTGAAATCAAGGTTTCCTATGAAACTATTCTAAGTATCCTTGGATTCAACTCTAGTGTGTTGCTCAGAAGTAAACTTGCCATGCAAATTGTTCATTGCCTGAAGAAACAGGGTCCATAGGAAACTAAAATTAGAGCTACCATCCAGGGAATTGTTATTGAATATCTCAAACAACTGACGCTCTCCTCCATCACAGTCATGACAAGGTATATAGAGGGACAATGGAATCATTTTTAATAGATGGATACTTTTTTAGGCTACTTTTTTTTTGAAAATTATTTCCAAGAGCTGAATCACACTAGTGGGAGGCAGCGTGAAATTGTGAAGAGCACTGAATTTAGGCAGGAACTCCCAATCCACCATTTCCCAGTGATGTGATATTGGCAAATAACTAAGCCTCTTTGAACCAAAGTTACCAAAACTGTAAAATGGGGATAATATTATTAAAGCATATTGGATTTTTGTGAAGAAGAAATGAAATGTCTGTGAAAGTTCTTAGCACTATGTCTGGCATATGCTGTGTGAACTCTCTGAAGTAACCCTGAAACTGAACCAACAAGATGTTTCACTGATCCTCAGATAACATTCTTCCGGGCTCATGACTTTTTGAAATGAATTTAAAGATTCATGGGGGAAAAAAAGGCATTTTGTTAAAATATTTCAAATGGCTTTTCTGTTTTATTTTAGCAATAAGGTAGCAAAACTAATGGGGGGAATAGAAAATGTTATGTATGGAAACTTAATTCTTCACACTCATTTATTCTATATAATAGGCCAATGAACCAAAATTCCAAATAATGAGTCCCAGAAGCTAAGGCATACTGGAGACTCGTGTTCTATTTAAACAGAATTCAAATGCTGTTTAACAACATGTTCTTCCCTCCCCCAAATCATCAGACTTAGCTAGTGGGCTATCATTTTGTGAATCTATGCATAGACCCTTGGTTTTGTTGAAAGAAACAGCCACATTTTTTTAAATTTATTTTTTAATTGTAGTATAGTCAGTTTATAATGTGTCAATTTCTGGTGTACAGTATAATGTTGTAGTCATACATGCACATACATATATTCATTTTCATAATGGGTTACTACAAGATATTGAATATAGTTTCCTGTGCTATACAGAAGAAACTTGTTGTTTAACTATTTTATACATAGTAGTTAGTATCTGCACATCTTGAACTCTCAATTTATCTTGTCCCACCCCATTTCCTCCCTGGTAACTATAAGTTTGTTTCTATGTCTGTGAGTCTGTTTCTGTTTTGTAAATAGGTTCATTTGTGTCTTCTTTTTTCTTTTCTTAGATTCCACATATGAATGTTATCATATGGTATTTTTCTTTCTCTTCCTGGCTTACTTCACTTAGAATGACAGTCTCCAGGTCCACCCATGTTACTGCAAATGGTATTATTTTTTTTATAGCTGAGTAGTATTTCATTGTATAAATATACCACAACTTCTTTATCCAGTCACCTGTCAATGGACATTTAGGTTGTTTCCATGTCTTAGCTATTGTAAATAGTGCTGCTATGAATATTAGGTTGCATGTAATTTTCAAATTAGAGTTCCCTACAAGTGTATGCACAGGAGTGGGATTGCTGGATCATAGGGTAAGTCTATTTTTAGTTTTTTGAGGAATCTCCATACTATTTTCCACAATGGCTGCACCAAACTATATTCCTACCAACAGTGTAGGAGGGTTCCCTTTTCTCCACATCCTCTCTAGCATTTATCATTTGTGGACTTTTTAATGATGGCCATTCTGACTGTTGTGAGGTGATATCTCATTGTAGTTTTGATTTGCATTTCTGTGATAATTAGTGATATTGGGCATTTTTTCATGTGCCTATTGGCCATTTGTATGTCTTCATTGGAGAACTGCTTGTTTAAGTTTTCTGCCAGTTTTTGGATTGGGTTGTGTATTTTTTTCTTATTAAGTTGTATGAGTTGTTTATATATTCTGGAAATCAAGCCCTTGTCAGTCTCATCTTTTACAAATATTTTCTCCCATTCTGTAGGTTATCGTTTTGTTTTGCTTATGGTTTCCTTTGCTGTGCAGAAGCTTATAAGTTTAAGTAGATCCCATTTGTTTATTTTTGCTTTTATTTCCATTGCCTGGGTAGACTTCCCTAGGAGAACATTGCTAAGATTTAGGTCAGAGAATGTTTTGCCTATGTTTTCTTTTAAGACATTTATAGCGTCTTGTCTGATGCTTAAGTCTTT